TTTATACTGTATATACTGTATATTTTTTTATTTTCCCAGACTTACAGTATGCTTTACGATTCCTCAGAGTCCCTTGCAATCAGAGATAGTTTACAAGGATTCTATACATTTGAGTTCAGCGCTATAAAGCCAGGTACAGTGAGTAACATACCCCAATGACAGTATGAATGTAAATGTTTGAACAAAGGTTATGCTATATGTAGTTCAAGGAAACGCAATATACACAGAATACAGGTCACTGACACCGGCCACTGATGGAACTAAGCAGGCAGTGTAATAACTGACCATTTTCATTCATTCAGTATTCTTTACTAGTTTGTCAATATCAGTATATGCAACAATTCTTGAAACCAATTTCCATTTTTTTAAGAGGATTTATTAAATTGTACACATTTTCCTTATTTATGCATGGAAACTAAAATACAGTTTTAAAAATTAATTTATAATCACGTAAAAAAGAAATATGGCATTTTAATATTTTATATTGAACACTAGTATCTACAGTTGGAGGTTTTAGGCCTGGTACACACCAACGCAGTTTGCGTTTTGTCCTTTTCTGCAGTGCTTTTTGTGGTGCGTTTTTGCATGTACATTTTTTGATGCGTTTTGATTTTTTTATGCTTTTTTTTCGGAGCCAACTTTTGCTGGGCAGGTTAAAAACCAAAATGCATCAAAAAAGCACTACATGTATTTTCTGCAGCATTCTCCATTGAAGTCTATTGAACCAAAAACGCAACATTATGCATTTAAAATGTCCCTGACCCTTTCCAAAAACGCAGTGGCTCAAAAACGCATAGCAGTGAACGTGTCCCATAGGAAACCATGTTAAATGGACTGTAGTGCGTTTCTGCAAAAAGCACTATAAAATGCATTGGTGTGAACCAGGCCTTAAGCTCCATGCCAAAGCCGAGTCTTTTTCACCTATTTTTACAACTGTAAAACTAACCTAAAAGGCAGGAGAGATCAGATTACATTGACTGAAGAGAGAATCACACCACCCAGTGTCTCCTACCAGAGACAACTTATGAACAGGGATGTCCAGCAGGGAGTAGGAAATCATTGCTGGACTTTCTTATTAAAAGAAACACAGCATGCTGACTCAATGCTATGGGAGCATTATATTAAATGTCAATCTGTATAAAAAGATTTATACAAATAATTTAAAAAGCTAAAAAATTTATAAACTCCGTATAAACAACTGACCAAAACCCATTATATTTACCTTTCAAGCTTTTTTTTCCCCGAGTGTGGCTGAGAGCACTCTAATGACCATTATCTCAATGCATCCTACAGGTTTACTCAAGCAAACAACTAAACACAGAGATGAAATATGAAAGCTGTTTTGGAGGATTTGTATTGCTATCCAACCAGTCATGGGATTTGCACAGCTGTGCCACATACCACAATTTTGACTGGCTGGGAATAAGACCAGATTTTTTGTTGCTTCAGTTCAGTACAACTACAGGTCTTGTACCCTCCCCAGCCTGTGATTGGACAGTGCAAGGAGAAGCAGCAGACTTATGAGCTCATCTCTGACACTCTGCTCTCTCCTTTGTAATCCTTCTATTTATATATTTTTTTAATATGTATGTATATAAGGGCTGCCATATTTGTAAATTATGTATATGTATTCTGCAAGAATGGTTAGCAGCGTAGAATAGGGAACTGTGCTTTACTTTTCCATGCAAGGAGCTTTGACAATAGGCTTCCATTAGAAACAACCTATCTGGACAGGTTTTCCAACTCACTCAGCAGATTGTTTCCCTCCAACAGCAGATAGCCAGCAGACCTGCCATTGAACACAACCATTTGGGAGTATATTTATATAGCAGTAAATCTGACATTCACTGCTGGTGAATCTTCCTGGTGAATGTGTTTTAAATTACAGTGCTTGATTCACTACTGGTGAGTGTTTGGTGGAAGTCACATTCACTGCTTTATAAATATGATCCTTTTGATAAATAGGGTTATAATCCCATGATTTTGGGAACTTGCAGAACCCGTAGACCAAGTGATCCCAAGAAAGAGAGAGAACTTTATCCAATAACTGCACTTTTCCTAAAAATTGGATCCAGCGATGCCTGCATGTGCCTCTATGGTCCATAGAATATAAGTAAATGTTCGGGCAACCCAAGCCTGCATATCTATGCCAGAAGCTGAACCTTATCCCCAGAGGGACAAAAGTCACCAAGGGAACCCTGTCTGTGCAAGACCAATTTGTAGGCCCCCTTGCATGTACACAAACAGATTCAATGTGTATCGATTGACAGCTAGGTGGGAGTGAGCTATGTCCAGATCTATGTGTGGGTTTCAGCCTGTCTAGTATTAATGGGCCACCAGAGAGTCCTTGAGCAGCTGCATAAATGGTAAATCTGCCCGTAGAAGGTTAGATTAAGGTTGAATGTCTGTTCATCCCTTGATGCATATGGACAGCCTTCTATGAAAACAGACCTCTAATATTTTCTTAATGCTGCCCTTCCAGGAAGCATCCTTTTACACCCAAGAAAAAAAAGGCCAAAGTATGGCCCCTCCATGAGCTGTGAACTACTTTCGCAGTGAGACAGGTTCTGCTCAAGGCTGCCTCTTCTGCATACCACTCGGCCCAGCCTTGGCCCCAGACATACACCAAGTTTGTCTGATCGGCAATCATAGTGCTGCCAAGAACTGACCACTTGAATGATATTTCTGGGGGGGGGCCCCGCACACTTCTTCACATTGTGCTCTGCTTCAGCCTAGACTGTATTATTGCTCAGTAATCAATGCAAATCCTGCAAAATTCCAGAGAAAATGAGCTAAAGAAAATTCCAGGAGAGATTATCTTTATAGGCTCACTTTTTATCTAGATCAAACATAAGCCAAACCTTCCCTTTACCTGTGTTATTGTGTCATTAACATGTTCAACGTAAGAAAATAAATGTTAATGGTGCTGTCATGGTGTCATCCACCCTGTACATGGGTGCAAGTACAGTCAGGTCCATAAATATTGGGACATCGACACAATTCTAACATTTTTGGCTCTACACACCACCACAATGGATTTGAAATGAAACGAACAAGTGGGAGGCACATATGCAAACTGTTGTAATTCCTACACCGTTCACCTGATTTGGATGTAAATACCCTCAAATTAAAGCTGACAGTCTGCAGTTAAAGCACATCTTGTTCGTTTCATTTCAAATCCATTGTGGTGGTGTATAGAGCCAAAAATGTTAGAATTGTGTCGATGTCCCAATATTTATGGACCTGACTTTATTTACTAAAGCTGGAGAGTCCAAAATCAGACTCCCTTCTGCGTAGAAACCAATCAGCTTCTAACCTCAGCTTGTTCAATGAAGCTTTGACAATGAAACCTGGAAGCTGATTGGTTTCTATGCAGAAGGGAGTCTGATTTTGGACTCTCCAGCTTTAGTAAATAAACCCCTATGTGTCTGGCCTCTCTTCACACCTTTGCTCATGTATTTGTGCACATCTTATATGATGTGCTTTACAGCTTGTTCACAGCAGGTGAACTGAACCGCGTTGATCTATGTCAATCTACGCAGGCTCGATGCAAAGACTCTGAGAAAACCATTGTTCTCTATGTGCCCTGTTCACACCGTACTCATGTGTTGGTGTACATTACCTAAAAATGCAGCAGATCTCCATTTTAATGCAACACAGCACACAAAAATGTGTTACAATGTTCATCAGCATATTATAATGTGCTCTCGTGAATAGAATTAAATGAAGTGTTTTTTTTCTTCTTTACTTTAAATACAGTTAAAAAGAAAAAAGTATCACTGTACGCAGGGCCTGTTGTGAGTCCTGCTTGCTTAAAACTGCTATCTCTTCTCTATGTTACTATAAGTTTTTGTCTTCACAAGTGTTTTATATTTTGTTATGAAAATCTTTAATAAAGACTGATTATACAAAAAAGAAAAAAGTAAACACTACAATGTGTTGTAACAATGCATTGTGGTGCTAATGTGCACTCACTGGTGAGACCAGGCCCTTAGTATGTGCACTCCACAATAAGCAGCATGTATTTGTGTTGAGTTCCAAATGGCACCCCAACAACACCCAATCAAGCCTATCGGGTTTGATGCAGCAAGTTAATCTATGCATGTTAATGTGCTGTGTGTTGAGCTTTATGTCAACACATTGCAACAGCCCAGTAAAATGCATACGACCCCCTTTTGCCACCATAGCACACAAAGTACGGTAATTACCTAAAGGGAGAGCACAGTGGTAGCTGGCTGCCATCAGAGCCTTCAGGCTTGCTCTGTCTGACTGAAACCTCAAGTGCAGATGTATAAAGGGATGGGAGAGGAAAGAGAAGAATCACTGATCTAATTACTCATTTTCTTGTGAGTGTAAATTGCAGCTTAAGCATTTGATCTCTATAAACAAAAGTCTTTTTACAACAAACTAATAAAGGAAAAAGAGGAAAACGCATAAAAAGGAGCCTAAAGCTCCACCTGGTTCTTTAGAAGACAACATAATATCTAACCAAAAAAAAAATATATATATATATATAATTTTTAAAGCAGTATTTTTAATTCATAACCATAATAAAGGTAAACTTAAACCGCTATATATTACTTTTAGAACAGTGGAGTGCTTATTTACTAATTTTATCAGGTCTAAAAAAGAGAACCTTTTACTTTGCTTTCTCCAGACAAAGAACAGACCCACTTCAATCAAAGGAAAGAAGCTGAACATTTGTAGTTTTGTCCTTCAACATTTGACTGCATTAAGTGATTGTGTATATGCATTTTGAACTTGTGTCCATGAAAACAGTTTCAAATGCATCTGAGATCATTCGGAATTCGTTGATAGGTGCATTTAACCTGCAGCTGACCTATTTCTGACCTGCACTTGACCTGTTTCAGGAGGCATTTGTATTCCCATAGACTTGAATGGAAATGCTAAACCCATTTGAAGTGAACAAAGACCCTTAGGCAAAACCCATCACATCCTCATTGCTCTCATGTCTGTCTGTATTTGTTGCAGTGACGTACCTCCTCCATTCTTGTAGCACAGGTACGGAAACCTCCACACATTCCCCAATCCAATAATCTCTCCAGCCACCGACAAGACAAACTCCATTTTGTTATTCCATTGCCCTCTCTCTGTCATGTATTCCTTGGTCACCTCCTGAGGCTCCTTTGCCATCAGTGGCTGAGCTGGATAGGATTCCCCATTCACCACAGCTCCTGGGACCTTGTTGTCCATGGTACCTGGAAGAAAAAGCAGACACAGTCTGTGGTGCAAACCTAGTGTGATCAGAAAGTATTATTGATTTCCAGGATGGACCATACAACATTAAAGCCCCTGTATCATCAAGGGTAAAGCAACAGAGGCTATTTAATATTTAATGGTAATATTGTCTAGCATACACACAACATGTTGATCTGTTACAAATATCTTTTTAGTAATTACAGAGCACAGGCATTTTAGGAACTTCAACATTTAGATTTTCATATTTCGTAAAGATTTGCAAATGTCTTCTCTAGTGGAGATCTGTACAGCCAGGAATCTGATTATCATTCCTACTAACAAACTTCTGACATAAACTCCTGAATTGAGAAATGAACTAAGCATATGCTTCCATAATGTGTACTTGCATTAATTCAATGCACCTAGTGTGATTTCTTTCTGCTCTGTCTTCCCTCTGCTATCTGCATGAGTCACTTCTAACAGGTTATGTAGACACCACAGAATCCTGGGAGATGGCCCCATCCCCTCCATCCTGCACACAGAAGGTGACTGACAGCCTTAGCTGTGCCTGTATCCCTATGAAACTGTGTAGTAGGAGATGTGTCCTTTCCTCCTCCATCAGGTCTCAGATTACACTCAGCTCTATAGTCTATACCAGGGGTCTGCAACCTTTAAGACATAAAGAGCCACTTGGACCCGTTTCCGAGAGGGAAAAAAAAGACTGGGAGCCGCAAAACCATTGCAACATTTAAAACAAATCCGACACTGCATATATTGCAAAAAACGCTCTGGTCATGAAGGGGGTTTAAGGGCCCAGTAAGCAAAGGGTTAATCAGGGCCACGGTGTATCGTCATAATCACAATCATACAGTGGTGGGCAACCTTTTTTTTCGAGAGCCAAATCTCGCCAAAACCACGATTGAAATTTATTTTGAGAGAAACATTTTTTAAAACTGAAAATACATCCCCCATATAGTAATTCATCCCCCATATAGTAATTCATCCCCCATATAGTAATTCATCCCCCATAGTAATTCATCCCCCATATAGTAATTCATCCCCCATAGTAATTCATCCCCCCTATAGTAATTCATCCCCCCTATAGTAATTCATCCCCCATATAGTAATTCATCCCCCGTAGTAATTCATCCCCCCTATAGTAATTCATCCCCCCTATAGTAATTCATCCCCCCTATAGTAATTCATCCCCCATATAGTAATTCATCCCCCATATAGTAATTCATCCCCCATATAGTAATTCTCCCCCTCTATAGTAATTCATCCCCCATAGTAATTCATTCCCCTATTGTGTGAATTCACTTACCTTTGCTCCGCGCGTTCCTCTCGCTGGGTTCCCGCGCCGTTCTGGTCTTCAGGGCGGACTGTGAGAGGAGAGGATGTCACGCTGCCCCGCCTACATCCGGGCTGCCCCGCCTACATCCTGACAGCCAATGTTTGCCAGCGGGCGCCCGGCACACAGAAGATCTGCATTAAAAGAGCCGCGGCTTGCCGACCCTACTGTCACTGGTCAGTGTGCTCCGGAGCCGCAGGAAAGGTGAAAAAGAGCCGCATGCGGCTCCGGAGCCGTGGGTTGCCGACACGGTCTATACCAACCTTTCTCAACCTTTTCAACGCAAAGGAACCCTGGACATAACTTGCAGGTCTCAGGGAATCCCTGATAAAAATGATTTTATCTACAACTCATGATACATTAGTGTGAGGTAAGAATGCTCCTTACACTTGTGGTCATCGGGAAGAATTACCCCCTTACAGATAGCTAAAAAGATCAATGGTGTGAGTGGGAACTTACCTGAGAGGCAAAAATTGTTCATTGCTCAAGGAACCCCTGGCAACCTCTGGAAGAACCCTGGTTGAGAAACTCTGGTCTATACTGAGCAGTGTGTAAGATAAGATCCCCGCCCCCAGCTTTCTGAAGCTCAGAAATAGCCTTTTATCTGTGGGCTCTGCAGAAGTGAGGGCGGTAAATAAACATGAGCAACTTATGTACAGGGAGCTGTTTCATCTCTGTACCACCTGAGACTTGTTATTTCACTGGGTATATGAAAGGGTTTACAACCACTCTAGAAAACACCCACACCCTAACTTGATGGCATTTTGCTTGTTCTGTGCACTGTTTATCATGTGTATCAGTATGACAAGGTAATAATGCTGGGAGCCAGGGAGAGTGAGTTGTCACCACATAGGAGGAAGCTCTTTTCATGGCAGGATCATCTGGTTTTATTTTATTTAAAGTTGCAGATTAAAAAAAAATGAAAATGACTTTAGGAATGACATTACCATGTGAAAGCTTATAAGATATTTTGGTGATATGGTTTACTTTAAAGTGGAGCTTTCCTCAACTTTACTAAATTGAATTTTGCAAACTGTCCCGGTTTTTATATCAGTCTCTGTTTATGTCTCTAGTGCAGTAAAGTATTCTTACCTGCTTGATTGCAGGTTGCAGAAAGCTTGAAAAAATAAAACTAATACAGCTACCATAATGTATGTAAGTCCTCATGCACACTGGACGTGTTGATAACGTTGGTAACGTTATCTGTGTAAAGTCACATTAAAAACATGAGTTTTTCAGCTTTTTTTAGCATTTTTTCATTAGCATTTAGCGGCGTTTTGCCGTGTTTAGCAGTGTTTTCCTGCGTTTTCAGTTTTTAGCATTTTTTTGGCAAAAACGCCAGTTTGCGTTAGAGCGTTTTTACAGCTAAAAAACTCCTCTAGAAACCCACTAGTCCTGTTTTTTGTTCCAGCCAAAAAAACGCTGATCACAGTCTGTGTGCATGGACACATAGGATAACATGCTGAGGGGGTTACTAGCTGTAGAAAAAAATGGCAAAAGCCAAAAACAGCCGCTGTATAAACATTCACTGTGCATCAGGACTTAAGGTCTGGTAAGCTGCAGTAGTTTACTTTTTTATTCTTGTGTTTAAATACATATTGACATTCACTGTTAAGATTGCTCACATTAATTTACCTATAGAAAATTAAAAAAAAAAGATTAAAGTGATATTAAACCTAAAAGCAAACAGTTATTATATTGCAGCTTACCAATTCCTGGATGCGATGGCTGCATTAGTTTTCTTTTTTTAAGGTTTTTTAAAGGTTTCCTGCATTTTTATCTGGTAATTTCGCTGTTTTTCAAAAGAACAGGGTCTCATGCAGTTACTAGGATGAGATAAACCATTTAAAGCGGAGCTCCAGTCACACTGTAAAAAAATAAAAGTCAGAAGCTACAAAAACTGTAGCTGCTGACTTTCAAAAAACAGCCACTTGCCTGTCCCTCGATGCCGCGGTGTCCTCTCCACAGCCTGTTTCACTGGCTGTCTGGTGTTCCTGGCACCAGTATCTTCAGCATGGGCACCCGGCTGTGACAGCTTGAGGCTTCACAGCTGGGTGCCCACTGTGCATGCGCGAGTAGCGTTGCGCTTTCTTAATGCTCCCATAGTCTTCTGGGACCTGTCATGTGTCCCAGAAGACTACAGGGGGGGGGGGGGGGCAACGTCTGCTTTTGATTGCCTACGTGATCGTTCCAGAAATGGGAATGGGTACCTGTCAATTTCAGGTACCCACTCCCCCCCACCCCCACTCCCAAAAATTGCCAATCCTTAATGGGGAGCATGGGACCAGTCTTTAAAGCGGAACTTTCCCTTTTGGGTGTAGCTCTGCTTTAACACTGACAGGGGTGCTTACAATGACCAGTTTTTATTTCTTTATGTAAACCCTTTATCCCAAAAGGAAAAAAAACATGATTGCTGTAACTGATTATAAAGTATTAGCTGGAGTTTGGCTTCAATTTGTGAGTGTATCTAAATACCATTGCAGCTGTCTGCTGTTCCCCTGTATCCTTCATCCAGAGTGCAGACACTCTAATACAGGAGTTGTATTACTGCTATTACAGAGTGCAAACGGAGAAGAAAAAAGCCTAAAAAAAAATAAAACAAATGCAGCCACCACATCTAAGGACTAGTAAGATGCAATATATTACATTCTTGGTTTTGTTTTTAATACCATTTTAAAAATGCTATAGATAACTGTACCCAAAGAACAGCTGATTATTCCATCAAGCAAGAGTATGCCATACAGTAAGACCGAACACCTCCTCATACACGTTTGTGCAGAATCTTTGGGGTTTATTTACTAAAGCTGGAGAGTGCAAAATCAGACTCCCTTCTGCATAGAAACCAATCAGCTTCCAGGTTTCATTGCCAAAGCTTCATTGAACAAGCTGAGGTTAGAAGCTGATTGGTTTCTATGCAGAAGGGAGTCTGATTTTGCACTCTCCAGCTTTAGTAAATAAACCCCTTTGTGTCTGAGGTCAATGTGTAAGTATCAGATGTCGCCCTGTGTACACTGCAACTGATCTCCAGGAGTGTTTAATCATGTGCAAACAAGAATTTAAAAAACATTTTAGCATAATGATGCAAAACATTGCAAGTTTATAATTTATAAACAGAATTCTGTCCCAAATGCCCAGCACCAATGCCAGCCAATCAGCCGCAGTCACTGTTTGGGTATTCTGACAGCCATGGGTCCTGGCTGTTGGAATACCATGGCAGGCAGCGGGAGATTCCTCATTCTATGTTGTTTAGCATAGATAGGGGAAGCTTTATGTATATGGAGAGCTTTAGAATTGGCTGAGAGAATAAAAAAAAAAAAAAAAACTACTGCTGGTAATATTGTAAAATAATTTGCAGGGTCAGAGGTACAACCTGCGTGCTTAACGCATTCTGCATCTTTTACAGGCAGTTCAGTTTAACTCTGGAACTGAGTACGGCTATAATGACATACAGTAGATCCCACTACTCATGTAAAACATTGTGTGCATTTAAAGTAGAACTAAAGGCAAAACTTTTCATTTTGGATAAAGGGAGGGTTATAACCCCTGTCAGGTTTTTTTTTTCCACTAT